GACCCGGCCCGGGACTTGGTGCTGCGCGTGCAGCCCGGCGACAAGTGCGTGGTGACCGTGCTGGAGAGCGGGCCGCCGCCGCCTGCCCCTCACCGCCCCGGCGCCCTTTCCCCCAAGCGCTTCCCGTGCGACTTCGGCCCCGGCGAGGTGACCTACACGCACTACGGGTCGCGCAGCCCCGGCCGGGAGCGCCTCAGCCTCCAGCTCCGCTACGACTCGCCCAGCCGCACGCTGGTGGCGCCCTTCACCCTCGAGGCCGAGGTGCTCTCGCAGCAGCTGCGCCTGCTCAGCCGCAACCTGCCCCTGGCCGTGGAGAAGCTGCGCGGCCTCAGCGCGCCCCTCGATGCCAAAGTGCTGGCTTTCGCCGAGGCGGGCGAGCCCGGCCGGCGCCGCTGCCGCCTCACCGCCTTGCCTCACCCTCCGGGCAGCGGGAGCCACTTGCCCGCCTACGGGCGCCTGTTGGACGCCAGCGGGCGCCCTCTGCCGCAGGGCTACAGCAACGAGTGCAGCCGCTTCCTGGACGACGGGATCCGCTATGAGCACACGGCCACCGGCCCGTCGCCCAACCGCGACTACATCCCGATGCGGGTCGAAGTGTGGGGAGAGGAGGCGGCGGCGGCGGAGGGGAGCGACTCCTCCTTGGAGGGCAGCCAGAGCGAGCAGGAGTATTTCCAGGTCGTGGTTCGCATCCGGGAAGGTGCTGAGAACACCCCACCCAAACCCAGCTTTGTGGCTTTGCTCATGATGGAGGTGGACCAGTTTGTGCTCACTGCCATCACCCCTGACATGTTGGCTGCCGAGGACCTGGAGACCCCTTCAGATCTGCTGCTGTTCAATCTCACCTCGCCCTGGCCCAGCCCAGGGGGTCAGGAGAGGACAGCGGGGGATGATCCCCAGTTGCGGGGTTACTTGATCAGCACAGATGACCCAAGCCGGCCACTCACTTCTTTCACTCAGCGGGAGGTGAGGGAGCTGAAGATTGCTTACCAGCCTCCCACAGTGGACTCTGACCACGAGCGGCTTTTCCAACTTGAGATGGAGGTTTTGGATCCTGAAGGGGCCTCGTCAGAGCCCTTTGCCTTCATGGTGGTTGTTAAACCTATGAACACATTGGCACCAGTGGCTGTCTTTAACAGAGTTGTTGGGCCCCAAATGATGCTTTTTGAAGGCCAGTCAAGGCCGCTTTCCAGCAACCTTGAAATCAGTGATGAGGACAACCTGGATGATGTGAAGATATGGGTTACAAGGGGATTGAAACATGGGGAGCTCAGGGTGTTGGGCGCATCCCCTGGTCGTCAGTTTTTTACTGCCGCTGAGTTGGAAGCTGGACAGGTGATCTACCAGCATGATGGCAGCGAGCACAGTTACAGTGATAATGTTGTTTTCCGTATGGGAGATGGACAGCACCAGGTGGAGTTTCTTTATCCAATCACTATAGCCCCCGAGGATGACCAGCCACCCCTTCTTAATGCCAACACTGGGCTGGTCCTGAGTGAGCACCAAGTGGTCCAGATCTCTCCATTTGTCCTCAGTGCCACAGACATAGACTCAGATGACTCAACCATCCGATTTGTACTTAAGGAAGTTGAAGGGTCTCCAGAAATGCCCCGTCTTGGTGTGCTTCTGCTGCGTCAGGCGGAGATAGGATTGTCTTATGAAGATGAGGAGGATACAGGGAGAGACCTCAATGCTGCATCCTCTTGGCGCTTTCTGGAAAGTGAGGGTGTGTACGAGAAGGAGGTGACTGAGTGGTTGCAACAAGATATCTTGGATGGAAAGTTATACTACAGGCACACAGGTTCGCATAGCACCAGCCTGACAATGGACCAGTTTGTGTTCTATCTCCAGGATGACAATGACCCGCCCAATCAATCTGGAGAGCAGGTGTTCCTCATCAAGGTCCAACCTGTAGATAACCTGCCCCCAGAACTGTACCCAGGTACAAGCTTACAGATGACTGTCCTTGAATATCAGGTGACCCACTTCAGGAAGCGTTTCCTGCGCTACACCGATTTGGACACAGATGACAGGGAGCTGAAATACACTGTGCTCACACCACCAACAGACACTGATGAAAACCATCCTGTGGTGGCTGGGCAGATTGTGTTGAGTGACAACCCTTTGGTAGCTGTTACACATTTCACTCAAGCTCAAATAAATCATCACAAGGTGGCTTATAAGCCACCAGACCAGGAGCTTGGCATCACCCCAAGAGTAGTGCAGTTCACTTACAGGGTAGAAGATACAGCTGGTAATTCTGCTCTAGGTACCTTCACCCTTTTTCTGCAGCCAGTGGATAATCAACCCCCACAAATCACCAATGCTGGTTTCACTGTGTTTGAGGGTGGCAGCTTCCTTCTTACCAGCAGTCAGCTAGATGCCACTGACAAGGATACAGACACTGATCGGATTGTCTTCACCTTAGCTGAGGCACCACAGCATGGCCACCTCCGCTATTTGGAAGAAGGATCAATGGTACAGGGTGAATCTTTCATCTTAGATGACATTATTAATGGTCGCATATCCTATCAGCACAATGGTGATGAGTACACAAGTGATTCCTTCCAGTTGGAAGTCAGTGATGGAGTCCACCAAGTGCCAATTACTGTGAAAATTGCTGTCCAGCCAGTGGATGATGAGCGCCCCAGCATAACCCTCCCTGGTAGTCATGGACTTTTGGGAGCCTTTATTGATGTGCTGGAAAATAGTGCCACTGAAATAACAACTTCTCTTATCCAGGGGACAGATGAGGATACTGATGAACTGGCATTAACTTTTATTGTAGAGGATCCACCTAGGTTGGGTGACATTTTAGTAGACGGGGTACCTTCTAAAAGATTCACACAGCAGGACCTCATTAGTGGGACAGTAGTCTATGCTCACACTGATGGCGAGATTGGTTTGAAAAAGCGTTCTGATTCTTTCAATCTTACTATCTCAGACCTTTCTAATGAGTGGGTGGTGGGAGGCAGCACAGTGGAGGGGGTACGTGTGACTGTAACTATTTTGCCAGTGGACAACATTGCTCCTGAAGTTATGGTGGGAGAAGAACCATTTGCTGTTTATGAGGGAGGGAAAAATGTGCTAAGCTTAAACCTACTGGATGTGGAGGATGTAGATACACCCAAAGATGACATCCTGTGTACAATCTTAATCCAGTCCACTTCTGGATACCTGGAGAATATCTCTCCAGCCCCTGGGTCTGAAAAGTCAAGAGCTGGGATTGCCATTAGTGCATTTTCAATAAAAGATGTTCGTCTTGGGCACATCAACTATGTGCAGAGCATCCATAAAGGGGTAGAACCTGTGGAAGACAGATTCACTTTCCATTGCTCTGATGGTATCAACTTCTCACCTCAGCAGTTCTTTCCTATTGTTATTATCCCAACCAATGATGAGAAACCTGAACTGTATGTCCGGGAGTTTGTAGTGCTGGAAGGGATGAGCTTGGTGATTGACACTCCCATTCTCAATGGTGCTGATGCTGATATTCCTCCAGATGAGTTGCGCTTCTTCATCACTGTTCCTCCTAAACATGGACAGATTGTTAACCAGCTACCCACTGGTACTGTGTCTGTGCACAATTTCACTCTGGAAGAAATCCGAGAAGCTTCCAGCATTGTGTATGAACATGATGACTCTGAAACTAAAGAAGACACTTTCAGAATCCAGTTGACTGATGGTTTGCACATAGTAGAGCAAGACATATTGATTATGATCATCTTGGTTGATGATGAGACACCCAGGATGTCTATCAATGATGGATTAGAAGTGGAGATTGGTGAGTCCAAAATTATCACCAACAAGGACCTCAAGGCCACAGATATAGACTCAGAGGACAAGACACTCACTTATATTGTTCGTTTGCTACCCAGGCAGGGCCTTCTGCAGCGCATGAACAAAGAAAGAGGGGTGTTAAGCAACATTACATTGGGTATGAATTTCACACAGGATGACATAGACCAAGGTTATATATGCTACATTCACACTGGCCAGCAGGGAGTCCGTGACTTAGTTAAATTTGATGTCACTGATGGTATCAATCCTTTGATAGACAGATACTTCTACATTACCATTAGTGGTATTGATAGGGTCTTCCCTGAGGTGATCAATAAAGGTGTGACTCTGAAGGAAGGTGGGAAAGTAACTCTCACTACCGACCTTCTCAGCACAAGTGACATTAACAGCCCTGATGAGCATCTCCAGTTCAGTATCACCCGAGCCCCAATCAGAGGTCATCTGGAGAACACTGACAACCCTGGAGTTCCAGTCACTACCTTCACTCAGCTCCAGCTAGCAGGAAATAAGATTTATTACATCCATACTGCAGTAGATGAGGTGAAGATGGACAGCTTTGAATTTGAAGTGACAGATGGCTATAATCCAGTCTTCCGCACTTTTAGAGTCTCCATTACTGATGTGGACAATAAAAAGCCAATTTTAACCATCCATGACCTTACCATTCAGGAAGGGGAAACCAAACTGATCACCCCGTTTGAACTGAACGTGGATGATCGGGACACACCTGACCATTTACTCCGTTTTATAATTACCCAAGTCCCAGTGCATGGCCAGATCATTTATAACAACAGCTATGCTGTGACAAGCTTCACTAAGCAAGACTTGAATGAAAATATGATTAGCTATAGGCATGATGGCACAGAAACTAGCCAAGATAGCTTCTCTTTCACTGTTACTGATGGGACCCATTCGGATTTCTATGTTTTTCCTGATACTATCCTTGAAACACATCGCCCACAGATGATGAAGATTCTGATCAATTCCCTAGACAACGGTGTGCCACAGATAATAATAAATAAGGGTGCCTCAACCCTGAGAAGTATTCCAACCGGGCACCTGGGCTTCTTAATTACCAGCAAGTCTTTGAAGGCAGAAGATAGAGACAGTCCACACAAATTGCTGAAGTTCAGGATCACAGATGGACCACAACATGGGCTTCTCATTAACACGGGCTTAGGAAATGGAAGTGTTAAAGCCTTCACACAAGGTTAGCATTAATTTATTACCACCTTATTTATCAGCTTCTTTGGAATTTTAATTTCATGTAACTGGAAGATTGTTTTAAGATCTTGTCTCATGCACAGACTCGGGTCAGCAGACCATGTGCTCTAGGGAAGAATTCAGCTGTGAAATAGCATTTTTTAGATTGCAGTAAAATTGTATATACTGTAGGTATATTTGTAAAATGACAATGACATTTCAAATGTTTACCATTGACTATTTCTTTGAGCCTTTGGACATTTTGATTTTGAAAAGCTTGTATAAGTTGCTTTGCAAAAATATTTTCACGTTCTAGAAGCCTGTTAGAGATATTTACATTTATTAATATCCTTAATATATATTGTCCAGGGGATTACAGTCTGGCAGAAAATGTTGGAATTGTCATATTTTCATCCCAAATTTGCTCTTGGACTATATAAAATGCATAGTTTTGTCTTTTAAAAAAAGACACCTCAAGCTAGTTACACATAGACTAGAATCCTAGGGTCCCTTCCAGCTCTGTAGTCCAAAGGTGGTGGTGGTGGTGATTGTTCTCACCCTCCTCCTCCTGTTGGCATAGCTCTCCACACATAAGGCTGATGAGGTCATCAGTTTCCTATTGTACTCCCTCCTGGTTCAGAGGCTGCTTAGGGATCTGTTTTGACTTTGGGAAGCCTTTGAGGGCCACAGAACGAGAGGAAAATCTTTAATGTTTGAAACTTGCTGGGACTGGCAATAGCTATTTTTGGATGCTAACCACCACCACCCTTCTCAGGTACTCAAAGTCTTCCCCAGTCAAAAGGAATCCCCAGTGAATCTCAGAACCTCAAAATGAGGAGGAATAAGAAACTTTTAATTAAAGATAAAAGGTTGCTGCTAATGACATCATCAGCCTTGCTCAAGCAGAGCTACACAAACAGGACTCTGGCCTAATTAGATGAGTATCAAAATCTAGATGATTTGAATGAAGGAAAAAATAGCCCTTTTCATTGTTTGACATCTTTGTTGACTCAGAACATGGGAGGGACAAACAGGATTGCATTTGCAGGCCAAGAATTATGCCTTCATGAACTCATTGGTTCTGGGCATCCAGGTTGGGGATGAGATTTTTGAATTTTCTCAACTACAGATAATATAATTCTGCATTCTGGGAGTACTATTTAATTTATAGGCACTGTTGAAATATCTGAATGAGATGCACTTGAAAGAAAGGCCTAAATTAACAAAGGGTTTGAGGCCTTAGCTAGGCGAAGCTCCGCTCAAGTGTCTTGTTCTTGCCCCAGCGCTAGCTGGGAGATTTATTTTTCAGCAAGACACTTAGGTGAAGCTTGGCCTCACAAAGCTTCAAAGTCTTCTCATTTAGGTCTTTGTCCCAGGTGCTTCACAGGTATTGTGTATTAAGGCAGTAGTTCTGTGAAGCTGACCTGGAAGAAAGTTCCCCCTTTCTCATCTAGGTTTCTTTTTGACTGAACATGCAGGGGGCTGCTTTCAGTAACAATATGCACTAGTGCATATTTTCCTTGAAAAATGCAATTGAAAAATTCAATTGAATTAAAATGGGTTAGTGTGTTTAGGATTGCATAATAAATCCTTTGAAAAACAGCATGCATTTAGATGCAGATTTTACTTTCACGTTCTTTCTGTTACATCAGCTCATGTAGCCTCAACTAACCTAACAGAAGATTCTGAGAACTATCTTTGCTTAAATATCAAAAGTAAATTAGAAAGAGAAATGAATCTGCAAATAATGTTTTTAAATTGTGAACTTAGCCTTAAGAATGTTTTTTTACAATGTGTTCCCATATAGCTGTGCTTAGGAGTAAGTTCCTCCAACTTCAACAGGACTTACTCCCAAGTATGTCTCTACAGTTGCAGTCTTAAAATTCAGCCTCCTCTGGGAAAGCTTTAGTGTTTGTACTAAGGTGATCTAGTAACTGATCTAACTTTTTTTCTCCCTCCTGCCAGCTGATATTGATGACATGAAGATCTGCTATGTCTTGAGGGAAGGTGAAAATGCAACCAGTGATATTTTCTACTTCTCAGTAGAAGACAGTGGTAAGGCAATCAATTTCTTAAACTCAGTTACAGTATTCATATATGAATATTGGAGTCAATTGAAGTAATGTTTTATTGTGAGTGTTACTACTTGGGCAGAATAAACAGTAAAGCAAACAAATTTGTTTGCAAGAAGTATGTTGTGTATACTTTAACTTAATCACAATTCATATCTGGGCACTTCTGTTTACAAGCATATTACCATGTGTGTAATGGCATTGATTCCCAATGAGGTAGGCATAGAATTGTTACTAAGCAGTTGCAGTTAACTTGATGCAGACTATGTAATGTACTGCTTTGTAGGAATAGAGAATGGAAACTCTGAGATTGTATGTGCCCTGTCTCTGATCACACAAATTGCTACCTTGCATTCCATATGTGGATTTGATATTGTGTCTGTGATTCTGTTTAGTTTGTACATTTGTGTTTTTAACTAAGGTGGCAATAATCACTTTCAAACAACATCAGATTCTTGCAGGGTGCCCAGCGATTTATGATTAAATGGACTGAGAAGGGTACTCCATATATCTGTTAACTTCCTGAAATCCTTACATCACAGTAAACTATATGAGTGCTGTTGGATATTTCTTGTGGATTTAATGCTGTAAGATGTGTCTGTTTCAATGTACTTTTAATATCTAAGAATAGCACTTTTGTTTTAAACTGGCCTACTGCTGCATCTTTGAGAACAGCCTCAAGCATAAACATTTAACAATGATCTCAGTCTCTTAGTGCATGGATTTTCCCTTCTTTATCAGAGAGATGAGTGAGGAGAGGGGCCTGTGTGAGGATACATGAAGTTCTTGTACATTGTGACTTGAGGAGAAAATTGATTTCTTTAGTTTCTTGATTTGGGGGGATCCCCAGCACTGCAATGCCTCATATAGGAGGTACCAAATTTGGTCATTGTGTATAATCCAACTCCATTAAACTCCATTAAAACTAAGTGAATTGATTTGTATAAAATGTTTAACTGTATAGATTGTGTAAAGTAACATAGAAATATTTTGTTTTGTGGAGTAACTTGTGGAATACCTTGCACCAGTTGTGTTCAGTACTGAAAGCTAAGTAAGAATAGATTTTTCTAACGTAGAGACAAACACTTAGAAAATTCTTTGCTTTCTGTATTTTTACGTGTGAGGTTTCTCTTAAAAGATGGGGCAAGCATATTTTTAAAGGTGGCAATACTACTTATTTCTCAAACTATGGCAGAAATCCTGTTGCTTAGTATAGAAAGTTGCAAATTGAGTAGGCCCATTGAGTCACTGGGGATTTGGTAACTCAACTCCTCCATAAGTTCCATTGATTCAACTCTAGTTGTGACTTAAGATGCTAATCAACAGAATTTCAGCCTATGACTCTTAAACATGTGTCTTTTTGGCATTTATGTATAATACTAGCATGTTTATGTTCACATGCTTATGCTGTACACAGAACTCACCAGTGGAAATCCTGTTGCGCAACTGCATACACACAAATCCTGATGATGTCATCAGTCATCAGATGCTACTCGTTATTTTAAAGTTTCCTATTCCCTCCACATGTTTTGAAGCTGCAATCCATTTCAACCTAAAGAAGGTTTTGGGATGTGGGGGAAAGGAGATTTAATGCCAAAAAAATCACCACCACCACTCCCAATCTCTAAGGAGCTTCAAAGCCTTGGAGGTGACAGGAAACTTGAAAATAAAGGTCAGCATCCATGGTTGATGGTTGATGACATCATCAGGATTTATATGCGTGCAGTTGCACAATAGGATTTCAGCCATTGTGTGAATTGCACAATTTGATAAGTTTGGTAGAGTGATTCCACTCTGCATGTTATGTTCTTTCTGTAAGAATTCTCACCAGCTTGGCATGTCAAAAAAAAAAAAAGACAATAGTACAATGAAGTGTCACTTGGAACATTGAATATATCTTTATTATCTGACTTTGTAGACTAGCAGGTCAGTTAGGAATGCAGGAAGTTTCCTTATGGACAATCCAGACAATCAAGCTCAGTTTTGTTTACATACATCATCCTTTCCTTACCCGGTCATCACTGAATAGCCACACTGGCTATGATACTGGTTCCACAGTGATTAGCAACACTTCTGTAGCCTTCCAACCTTAGCCCTTGCTGCTGGCCATGTTGACTAAAATTGGTGAGCATTAGAATCTTAGAATATCTAGGGATCCAAGTTTGGGAAAGGCTGATCAAAGCATTTGATACAGTAGTTGATAATACTAGTTTTCTAAAGGATGCTGCTGTGCAGTTCTAGACTATGTTATAAGAATTATTACTAAATATTTGTACAGTCTTTGTAACTTGCATAGTGCTTAAGAATAAATCAGCAGAACCATGCTAAATGCATGTCTGTTCTCCCTAAAAAGGAGGAATTAATAGAAGGAAGGAAGGAAGAGACAAAACAGCAAGGAAAATGTGCAACATGTTATAACACATACAGTAATAATACTGCTAGATCAATATCAGAACATAAAGGCATTCTACAAGATTCCTCTCAAAATTATATGCTTTTATAAAACTGTATGCAGGTTGAAATTAAAACAATAATAATAAGTCAAGTTAATTGTGTCTTATGGCTTCTTTTTCAAAGGTTTTCCAAGTAGAGAATACTCAGAAGTGGTTTACCATTCCTGTGGGCAACCTGGGACCATACAGCTTGCCCAAGGCCACACAGGCTGACTCTATTCACAGGAGACATAGTGAGGAATTGAATTTCCAATCTCTGGCTCCACAGCCAGATATCATTGAGTTATCCAGATCAGCTGTAGAGGAGAAAGTGATGGGCTAGGACTCAAGAGTCCAGGGTTTGATCCCCCCCCCCCGCCATGGAAACTCATTGGGGGAGTGGAATTGGTAAAACCACTCTTTAAAAAACCCACTTACCTTGAAAGCCTTATTAGGGTCACTATAAGTCAGTTCCAACTTGAAAAACAACAGTAACAATAATACCCACTCCTGAGTTGCAATTAGCATATTAAAAATGATCATTTCTGGCAAGCAGGTCAGAAATGGAATATCACTTTCCCCCTTGTGTTCTTCAGCAGCTGATACTGTTTTGAGACAAAGCCTGCTTCGCATAGTGGAAATTATGGCCTCCATAACTAGTAGCCATAGATAGTTACTTCTTCCAAGAAGTCATAGCCTCACATCTATATATGATGCAATTCTGGACACACTAGGGCCTAAGGGTTTGGCTACAATAGCAGCAAGGAGTGAACTAGTGTTTGGCCTTGTTTGGTTTAATTAAACCCAGCTGTTCCCACAGAAATGGCTCCTGGCAATATTGTGGAGTGGCTTAATAAATGAGCTACTTAATGATATTGGCAAATTAATCACCACCCTTTCTCAGCAGAGGGCAGGAGAAGTGCTTTTTTCCCTTTTGTATGTAGACTATCACTGATACACTGTGTCAGTTAAAAATATTTTTTCTTTCCCTTCTCTTAAAGGGCTAGTCGAGAAACTTCCTGCAGCCAAAGCCATTGCTGTGGATTTGACTGTGGGCAGTTTCTTGACTAGCCCTTTAAAATGAGTCAAAGAAAAGATTATATAAGTTATATATATATTTGTAACTTATATAATCTTTTCTTTGACTTAGTAATAGTCTACATATAGTTGGAAAAATTAATTTCCTCTGCAATCTGCCAAACAGGAAAATGGTTAATTTGCCAATATCCTGAAATGACTTGCTTATAATCCACTTTATGATACTGGCAAAATCAAACTGGAAGGCCTGCTTCGGCTTTATTCCAGTGATCACATGCACTGGAAATGATCCAAACCAGAGTGATCCTACCTGCACCAAAAATAACAGGGCCAGAAAGGTGCAGGTAGAAATGCTCTGGGATTAGGCTGGTGCACTCTAGCAAAGCCGTTCTCTGATTACCATCTTTAGGAGCACCCCACCCCTGCGGTGGTCCAAATAGTGAGCTAAGTGCTCATGTAGTCAGCCTCTAGGTTTCACAGGATGCAGTGGTGCCTACATTTGTATAGATATACATAGGATTGTTTTGCCTGCTCAGGAATCTGTGAAGATTTTTTTAAAAGTGTTTATATGACTCCTAACTGTTAAGGCTTACTTCTGTGCTATTTAGTGATAGAGAATGAAGATAGAAGGTTTTATTGTATTTATCTCTTCTATACTCCTAGGGCTCAAAAATTAACTGACTGTAGTTAATTACGTCATCCCTGGGGAAGTTAGTTTTCTTAACTCTAGTTGATGACTGTTTCTATCTGTAGGCAAAGGTATTATTACCATATGTGGTCACTGATTGAGTTGAAGATTTTGTTATTCTGGATATTGTAGAGATAAAACAAAATATGGTACCTGCTCCTTGCACTTTAGTTATATTGTACTAGCTAGGTTTCCCCCCCCCCCCCC